CTCTAAAATCAATAAAGAAAATGTTGTCAGCGGGGTCACGCTGGTGGAATAACTGTATATGCTTTCAAAGCGATAATCTGGAGAAGATGTAAAACTTAGGCTTTCTTTCTTTTTCTCAAATCGAGCCTCAGATTGTAAGCTGTAGCACTTGCAAATGCATTGGAACGTGTCTACTGAGGATCAGACGGGGAGCTCACATCTGTTCTATTCACCGTGACGGAGAACTCTGGACAAAGAGTGCATTTCGCAATTCTTTTAGAAAACAGCATGGAAAAAAACAAACAAAAAACAGAGATTTACTGCTCAGCAGAGCTGTATCAAAGTCCTGTCTCTGCCACTCACTAGCTGGATCAGAGTCCCACTCTGGCAGCACAGCCTCGGGCGAGTCACAGAAACTAGGCCTCGGTTTGCTCATCTGCAGAATGGGAGGGGACACGGGGCTGCCTCACAGGACGCCTGTGAAGGCTGAAGGAGAAAATTGTGGCGAACAGTTAGCACGGAGTAAGTATTTCGTGCAGACAACCAACGCCATGAGTTACTGCTCATTTCTCCCGTGTGGGCTGGTTTACAGAGCTATCACAAAGACCGAATCAGCAAACTGATCTGTAACCGGGAGAAGAGAAATAATGGTAATTTTGTCTGCGTACCACAAAACGCAGTCGAGAGTGGAGGGCAAAGGGAAGATCAGAAGAATTTGGGTTGTTCCGAAAACGCCCCAAGTGGGGCAGGGAAAAAGGTCCGTGCCAATGTCCCAAGCCAGGTTTGCCGTTTCGCTCCCTGGCAACGTGAGCGCGTTTTAATGCCGCGAGCGTCGCCTCCGAGTGGCTTGCAAAGCACGTTCGTGCAGTGCGGGGCCACCTTTCGTTTTCAGGGTCATCTCTAGGCAGCGACTCCCGCAGTCTGGCTGGATGAGGACAGGCTCTGCTGACCGAAAAGGAAACGGCCACTTACCAAGTGACCGCTCGTAAAACGGTTGGCTTCGGGGTTTCTCAGGGCCGAGACCTGTAACACAACAACAGCCATCAGGCCTGGCCGCTTCCGGAACAGTCTGTGACTGCGTTACCGATGCCCCAGGTGAGCCTCTAGACAAGGCGACAGGGGGAGATCACCCACATGCTTTGCTACCATCAGCGCCAACAGAGAAAAGCCTCAGGCACATCGAAGTGGCTCCATCGCCGCAGGACACTAGCCCATCCCACGGTCAGGGAGAGGCCACACCAACAGGAAGGGAAGGAGAGCCCTCCCTCCCCCCACCGAGACTCGGAAAGGGATGGTCGGTCTGGTCACGTGGCTGGAGGGCTACCCTGTCCAGCCGCAGACAGACAAATGAGCTTCAGTCCGGATCCTCCCAGCTACACATGGTCACATGCCTGTGCTCTTTGACAGGTCAGCACCAGGAGGGGTGAGCAAGCATGTTCAAGCTTGCAGACCCTCTCAAGGTGAACACCAACCTCTGCCCTGACTACTGGACGGAGGTGTGGGGCCATCAGATGCGACCGTGTGTGGAAAAGCTCTGTGTAAACGCAAATGGGCCCCAAATGAAAGGTGGTGTCGCTATCGCCTCGTGTGAAGAAAGAGACAAGAGCCCTGGCCGGTTTGGCTCAGCGGTTAGAGCGTCGGCCTGCGGTCCAGAGAGACCCAGTTTCGGTTCATGCTAAGGGCATGTACTTCGGTTGCGGTTTGTCCCCGGCCCTGGTTGGGTCGTGGGGGTGGCAGCCACTCGATGTGTCCCCTTCATATCGATGTTTCTCCCTCTCTCTCTTCCTCTCTCTCCTTCCCCCTCTATCTGAACAAAAAAATGGAAAAATGTCCTCAGGTGAGGATAAAAAAAAAGAAAGAGACAAGAATAAAGGAAAGAGTTTATTCTCTGCAGTGACTGTCATTGTTCAAAGGCCATGTATAGATAAGTTTAGTTTCAAATGACTCACGAACAGAAAGCTTCAGGATGAAGTTGTTTCGAGAAAAAAAAAAAAAAACCTTTAAAGAAGAACAGATCTCAGCTTACCAAGTAGATAATTGTTTCTCCATGTAGAGGATCCTAAGATACCCCCAAAAATCATCTGCATAAACATAGGCATCAGTACGTATCAGCACATGAAAGAGAGAAAAAGGAAAACGCTATAAAAATGCAACTCGCACCTGGAGGACTGTGCTGAAGCCAACAAGACAGTGCGTTCTGCTAAATGACTCTAGGGGGCGCAAGCATGGGTGTCTGAGAGCGAATGCGGGGAGAGCAAGTCATGTGAAGTTTAAACTGACTAAAATGTTTTCCACTAGACCAAGAATGCCTCCCAAATGCCGTGGACCTAAACGACGGAGGCTTGTTAGGTGGACTTGCAGATGCACTGTGTTTAGGTCACATTTTGGAGTTTTCTCTCTACGAAGTCAGCACACGTGTTCAGTTAGGTGCGCACAGCAGCCTTCGTGAAGCTGAAAGTCTGTGTAAAAATACATGTGGATAAATGCTGGTGGACAGAGACAGGACTTGGGGTGGTGAACACACAATACGATCTACAGATGACATGTTATAGAACTGTACCCCTGAAACCAATATCATCTTATTAACCAATATAATCCCAATAAATTCAATAAAAAACACATTCACAAGAAAACCTGCACGTGGATGCTCATAGCATCATTATTTATAATATCCAAAAGGGGAAAATAACCCACATGTTGACCAACTAATAAACAGATCAATCAAATGTCATATATCCACACATAGAATATTACTCAACAATATCACAGAATTAAGTATTGACGTAGGCTACAGGGGGTATGGACCTCCAAAACACGATTTTAAGTGAAAGAAGTCAGTCACAAATGAACACGTATGATTCCACTCATGAAATGCCCAGCACAGGCAAATCTATAGACACAGGAAGGGTATTAGTGGTTGTCGCCTGGGGAATAGGGGTAGGGGATGAGGGGGGGACAGACGGACAAAGTTACTGCTCATAACCAGGGGGTTTCCTCCCAAGACGATGACTACGCTCTAGATTTAGGGTGGCAATGGTTGTACCACTTTGTGAATATACTACCACCACTCAACTATACACACTGAAAGGGAGAGTTAGTTGTACGGTATGTGAATCATATCTCCATAAAGGTGTTATTTTTAAAACTAAGGACACATAGCTAAGCCAGGCCAGTGGGAATGATGCCGAAAGATATCTCCAGCTGGACCCTAAGAGAAATACTCCTTTTCCTCCTGAGTTTAGAGGATCGGAATGTGGTGAGGCTGGTGGAGCTACTTCCTGCTACAAGGAGAAAGGTCATGGCAATGAGGGAGAGGGGGAGGGGGGAGGGGAGGATGAAGGAGAACATGAATGTGGCCCAAAGTGTTGAAGGTCCCTAAACTGAGTGGTTCCTGAGGCCAACCCCTCCCTTTCCTTTATGGGAATGTGATACATGAAACTGTCTTATTTTGGCTCAGGCTACCTCTAGCTGAATTTCTATCTCTTGAAACGGAAGATAGTAAATGAAGGAAATGCCTGTCACCTCTTGTGCCCTGAGCTCAGAATTTCTGTCTAGTTATTCTTCCTCAGTTTCTCCCTTTTGGACTGTTTTTGAGGTCTCTTGGCTGTACCCCAGCCAGACTTCATCCCATCCACTGCGAATCAGAAGGATTTGTCTCGAGTCAAGTTCAGTCACCAACTTCCAGGTGTTAGCATTGCGCCCTTGATGGCAGATGTACCATTGCGTGACTGACGGTTCCACACACCAGGTGGAGACCTTTCATCCTCTACACGCTCCTCCTTCAAAGTGAAAAAATAGTGCAAACTACCTACAATTCAACTATCCGCTTGATGAAGAAGAGGAGACTTTCAGCAAATTTAGAAATGTATTCTCTCAGATTTCTTTACAGCTCTTCTACTTCTTTAAATTATGTAGTAGAAAATCCAAATTTCGTATGCTCAAGACAGTTTCTCTCATTATATCCTTACCAGATATTTTCCATTTAATCTAAATCTTTGTTTATCATCATTTGAATTTTCACTCCTATTCAACATGGCTTACATTTTTCTTCACACTATATTCCTTTTCCTGGAGATTCTTTTATATTCTACATGTTTGTCAAGTAATCTGTATTTTCATTACTCTTGGATTTTTTTTTTTAAGTTTTTTTTTTTTCCGATTGCCCACTTCCAACCATAGCTTATTTGTTCTGTGTCTAAATTCATCCAGTTATTATCTTTCGTGTTTGTAGTATCACCATTTATTTCACTGAAAATGGTTAGCAGCTGTTCTCTCTTTTTTCCTGTTTCATGTAAGAAATCTATGTCAGAGTTTCCAGGAATTACTTTAAATCTCCATCTGCTCTCTTTTAATTTAAGGAATTCTTTTTTAAAATTTGCTCAGAATTCTTTACCCTCTCCTATCCTTGAGGAAGAGTTTATGTAAGAATCTTGTTTGTCTCCGGGGCTAACCGAACTTAACATCAGCGTCTTCTTACAAAATGTGGGACTGGGAGAACGGTGAGTGGTCCTCCCTCTGCAGCGAGAGAGATTCGTGGCCCAGCGGGTGTGCACCAGGAGGTCGCCAGTTCGATTACTGGTCAGGACGTGTGCCCAGGATTGTGGGCTCGACCTCCAGTAGGGGGTGTGCAGGAGGCAACTGATCCATATTTCTGTTTCTCCCTCCCTCTCCCTTCCTCTCTCTGAAATCAATAAGAACATATTTTTTAAAAAGAAAGAATGGTCCTGGCCAGTTTGGCTCAGCAGTTAGAGCATCAGCCTGCGGTCCAGAGAGACCTGGGTTCGGTTCCCGCTAAGGGCACATACTTCAGTTGCGGTTTGTCCCCGGCCCTGGCTGGTCGTGAGGGTGGCAGCCACTCGGTGTGTCCCTTTCACGTCGATGTTTCTCTCTCTCTCTCTCCCTCCCACTTTATCTGAACAAAAAAATGGAAAAATGTCCTCGGGTGAGGATAAAAAAAAAAGAAAGAACGATTTGTGGATTGCCCAAACACTTAGAACTAACTTCCCAAGTCAGACATGCAAAAGAGATTTTTAGAGGACCACTGATTGAATTAATTTTGATTGTGTCAAAGGTCATAGAATGAACTAGAATTCATTTCTCTCAACATTCACTACTAACTCCTACCCCAGTCAGTGTTCTCACTCGCCTGTCCCGCCAGCCCCCCGTCTCTCTCGCCTGTCCCGCCAGCCTCCTGCCTCTCTCGCCTGTCCCGCCAGCCCCCCGTCTCTCTCGCCTGTCCCACCAGCCCCCCGTCTCTCTCGCCTGTCCCGCCAGCCTCCCGTCTCTCTCACCTGTCCCACCAGCCTCCCGTCTCTCTCACCTGTCCCACCAGCCCCCCATCTCTCTCGCCTGTCCCGCCAGCCCCCCGTCTCTCTCGCCTGTCCCGCCAGCCCCCCGTCTCTCTCGCCTGTCCCGCCAGCCTCCTGTCTCTCTCGCCTGTCCCATCTGGCCCCCATCTAGTCTTAGCTTGTTCCAGTCTACTCTTCACTGCCCTACCAACCACCCTTTAGTAGCCCCATTGCCATTAGGATCAGCCGGGATGCTTGACATGACCAACGAGGCTTGTCTTGACCTGGCCGTCACTCTGTCCTGCCCACCCTCCCACCTCTCCCCACCCTGATTTTTGCTCATTCCAGTCATGGATTTCTGTCCATTTCAGTCCACCAGCTTCTCTCCTACTTCAGGGAACTTCCTCATGATCTCCCTGTGCTTGGGATTTCTCCCCCCCCTCCCCTCCTGTCCCCTCTGGCCTGGTGTCTACCCGCCCTCCAGTTCCTGGGTCGAATGTCAGCTCCCAGGGAAGCTCTCTCTGCCCAGACACACTCTCCCATCCTCTCATTTCTTTACTGATTTGAGAGAGGGATGAAGGGAGAGAGAGAGAAAGAAACATCGATGAGAGAGAACACCGATTGGCCGCCTCCTGCATGCCCCCCAATGGGGACTGGGCCCTCAACCTAGACATGTGCCCTGACAGGGAATCGAACCGGCGACCTCTTGGTGCGTGGGTCGAAGCTCAACCAGAGAGCCACACCGGCCGGGCTCTTCTGGGCGCTCTTACATGCTCCCAGATACTTGTCTGGTAACCCTGCTTAGCAGACAGCACCCAGACTCGTCTATAAACTCCACAAGGGCCTTGTCCTGCTCCTCACGGTCTCCCTAGCTTTTCCCGTGTAAACCACAAAACCAGAGCCCACGAGATGCTCGGCCCGTCCCTGGGCACGGGCAGGGAGCGTGAGTGTGCTCACTGTGAGATGTATCTGCTCTCCAGGCACCGTAGTGACGTCTATGAAAGGAAGCCCTGGGTGCTGCCCTAGCACCACAGACGTGGGATCCCGCGGAGATAGCCCCAGAAACCACCTGGGTGTTGACCCTCAAAGCCGTTGTGAGCAAGATCAAGCAGTAAGGTTGTGCTCAAGTAAACACTGTGTGGAGAAGGCCTGATAACCCGGGCAAAGTCCGGCGGGCACCAATAGCCCCCCTGTCACGGGAGTTCTGCCACCACATCCTGACCCTTCCCTGGTGCTGGACACGCCAGGCGATCACTTCGTGAGTCATGTAAATGTGTAGTCACCTGTCCACCTGAGACTAACATGTTATATGTCAACTGTACCTGAAAAATAAGATCAATAAATAAAATGGGCTTCCATACAAAATATTAAAGTGTATGTTAATAATATGACAATGTTAATTTTTATGTATAATTTTTGAAGTTTAAATTGTATATTCTTCGTTGTTGTTGTTAATCCTCACCTGAGGATATTTCTTCCATTGATTTTTAGAGAAAATGGAAGGGAGGGAGGGAGAGAGACACACTGAGTGGTTGCTTCCTTCCCACCCGTGCCCTGACCGGGACCGATGATTGAACCTGCAACCCGGGTACGTGCCCTTGACCGGGAATCGAGCCTGCGACCCTTCACAGCCCGACACTCTAACCGCTGAGCCCAACCGGCCAGGGAGAAGTTTTATACTCTTTTAATGTAATTTTCACTACACACTTAAATCTTAGAAAACTGAATAAAAATATGAGTAGATAACCAAAAATTAATAAAAATACCAACTGTATACTGATAGAACTGCTTTTCAAAAACCTGCAAGAATATTACCCCCAATATGAATAAACAAATAATATAACAGCTACGTTTTTATCCCTAGTTAGAGTCATATCATGTGCCAGACAATTTCTTCCCCAGTTTTTAAAAATTCATTCAACAAGTACTTAACCTACATCAAGTATCTACCCTACACCAAACAGTGTCCGAAACTGACAAAAATAAACATTCAGTGCACAGACAAGAATGCAATACAATTTCAAGTCAGAAACGTGTCTATTGTTAATCTGACAGTACTGTTGCCACTAGATCTCAACGCGACCGGAGGGAAAAGCGTGGCCCTCTGTTCCCTGCTCCTCTCTCTCGCACCAGACGCTGGGCCAGGTCTTCCGGGCCCATCAGGGTCCTCGCTTTGGTCAACAGCCTATCGGGTGGGTCTTTACTCCTGGCATCTGTTCTTTCCTGAGGATGAGAAGCTGCAGGTCATGAAGGTTAGGTATCCTGACCTTGACCACAGAGCCGCAAATAATTTTGAACTCCAGTCCAGCAAAAATATCCCTCTTTGTTCCACGAAACCACGGGACCAGCGAGTGGCATACTTAGATCTAAAACTTTTTAAAATATGTTTTTATTAATTTTTTAGAGAGAGAGGAAGGAAGAGAGAGAGAGAAACATCGATGTGAGAGAGAAACATCAAACGGCTGCCTCCCACACGCCCCCTGTTGGCGATCAAGCCCACAACCCAGGCATGTGCCCTGACTGGGAACTGAACTGGGACCTCTCAGTCCGTGGGACGATGCTCAATCCACTGAGCCACACCAGCGGGGCAGATCTTAAACTTTGAGCTCCCTGTTTCACAAATCTTGGGGAAACAGAAAAAGATAGAAATAGATTCAGATGGATAGATAGGTAGGTGGATTGATACAGACAGAGAATAGGCTGGAGGATGTAATGGGTAATGACACTGAGATTGTAGGTAAAGAAGGGAGAATCCGGCCGAGTCAGCAGAGCTGTGCTTGCCCATGCATGGGTGACGTTCCCACTGCACCGTTACAGCAGCCTGCCACAGCCTCACACCGACCCCGGGAGGCGCCGTCCTGGAGGACACCAAGCCCCTGGCCATACCTCTTCGCTGCTGTCAGACTCGGAGCTGGAGGACCAGCGGCAGCGAACCCACACGTCCTGCACCTGCTGGGCAGACATCCGCACTGTGCTTCTGCAAGAGGCTGTCGGCTGGAAGACACAAGCCATGAGATGCATCTCCAGCAGCTCACCGAAGGGTTAGCACCCGGCCAAGACTCAGGGATACTGTAGGGCTGGACCAAATGGCGCAGACAGAAAGGAAAATTTCAGAGCAGCACTTTGGTTTTCCAAAAATGCACATTTCTCAAGACCGAAGGAGAAACGAATGAAAAATGTAAATATCTCTTACGCACTGGATACCTTAGGAGTCCCGCGAAAGCAGACACTCCCTCAAGAGCACCAAGGGAGCTGCCCTGAGTTTTCCCCACTCGAACCAAAAGAAGTGGGAAGAACCCAAACGTTCTCCTTTGGCCTCGGATTTCATTGAACAGATACGTGACGCTTGGGTTGGGGTCCTTCATAAAGCGGAGTCATGGCATAAAGCTTCATGAAACGAATAACAACACAAAGGATTCCTTTTTAGAATGTATATGTCATGGAGCAACCCCGACATACACTGGTAATGTACAAACGCCCGAGAATGTGCACATTCCAACACAGAGGCCTTGGAGAGCACGTGGAGGGTGGATGGTGCTGCTCCTGGGTGCACACCACGTGTGGGACCACGTTCTGGTCACTGGAGACACACAACCGAGCAGGCCGTGGTCCTGACATTTATTCCCAATGGAGCCTGAGCTGGCGGGGGAGACATATTCTGCAACAGTTCAACACAAAATAACGTGACACTCACGGTTAGTGGTTTTTGGTTTTTTTTTCCCTCACTCGAGGGCATTTTTGCATTTATCTTCAGATAGAGTGGGAGGGAGAGAGGGGAGAAGAGAGAGAGAGAAACATTGATGAGAGAGAGAAACATCGACTGGTTGCCACCCCCACGACCCCAACCGGGGCCGGGGACACACTGCAACCGAGATACGTGCCCTTCGGCAGAACCGAACCCAGGACTCTCTGGTCCGCGGGCCGACGCTCCAACCGCTGAGCCAAACCAGCCAGGGCTCGTGGTTTGTGTTTCTAAGTGATTCTAAGTGGAATTTGCAATGTCTCCGGGGTGTCTGTTTGGAGTCGTTTCTTCTCATTCACTCTGCCTGGAGCCATCATTACATCCCCATTTTCACGAGCAGGGCACTGAGGCAACAGGGTTAAATAGTTCGCCGGGATCATTCAGGACCACGTACTCCAGAGCTCAAGTCCTCAGCCACTGGGCCACACTGCCCCACGCGGGGAACACGGCATGGACACTTAGTGCCCCCAGGGTGGCCAGGGGACAGGCAGTGGCCAAGCTCTCAGTGGGACACCAAACAGGCTCCAGGTCATGGAAGAAGACGAGGCGCTGCCTCATGTTCGTTTCGGGGCTGGGGGTGGCCCTTCTCCCCACACTCACCACGTAGTAGCCTCTTTGGAAGTCACAGGTTGTGGGGTCTTCTCCAGAACCCCTCCTGCACGTGGTCTCGCGGATGCTGAACTCTAGGTCCATGCTCACGCCGCTCTCCTCCAGGACATGAACCTTCACAGAAACAAAGCGTCAGTTTGCGGCTGATGCGCGTCTGTCCCTGCCCCACGAGAAAGCAGCGTGACCGAAGCGTCCCCCAGGAAAGACAGCTGCGTCATCCTACAATCTCCTGGCTTCACGCCCTCACTCTGAAGACCAGAGCAAAACGTGGCCTGAGGGAGGAACCAGGTCTTTGTCCCAACCCCAGGGGAGTGTCATGTCTAACGACTTACATTTACAGTCGATTCTCTTTATCCCCAGGTTCCATACTTGCAAATTTGCCTACTCGCTAAAATGTATTTGTAGCTCCGAATTTCATTACCCAGAGTCACGTCGCAGCCATTCACGGACATGTGACGTTTCCATGGGAGGGGCCTAGGGAAGGTCTCCTGACCAGTGAATGTGAATAATCGGGAGAGGCCGGAGGGAGGCGGGAAGGGGCAGGCAGGAGGCCGCGCACGGCCCCTCTGGATCACGCGCTCATTAAGGGTCACACACACGCACACGTCAGTGTGTTCGTGTGCAGGTCCTGTGTGTCTGGGCTGCGGCTGCACCAACACGACACACACGCCGGAATGCGCCCTGGGCCCTCCTCCTCCACCAGCTCGTCTCCAGGCCTGACTCCATGGCGTCGGTAATTGGCTCTCTCAGGACCCGTCCTCATGTTCTTCTCATTTAATTAATACTCACTTTCCGCCGTCATGAGCACAGCTAAATTATAAGCGCACTTAAACTGTTCATCTGCGGGTCTGGCAAGAGGACCTGCTTTCCCCATGGCGCAGCGAGTTCATGAAACGCAGGACGGAAGCCAGAAGAGCAGGTGCGCCAGGAACGAGGGGAACCGAACCCGGGACTCTCTGGTCTGCAGGCAGACGCTCCGACCGCTGAGCCAAACCAGCCAGGGCACGGGGTGTGGGAGACCATTTGTATGGCATCCATCTTGTTAAGTCTGCTCTGCTGTCTCCAGCCCCAGGGCGGGGTCTCTCTGCGTGCAGTGCCTGCATTCCTCTAGATAATTGTTTACTCCATTCTTTGCTTATCATTTGTTCCACCTGGGGTATTTACTGGAGTTTGCTTCAGGTGGGATACTCATGAACTGTTTCACCTGTTTTCTCCTATATATTATGTGACCTCCCCCTGAGTAAACGAGACTTGATCAGAATCCTGTCTTGTCTCCATTTCTTGTGTCTCTTGTCCCTCCTCATCCTCACTCCCCCTCTAGAGTCCTCGTTGCTCGACCTGTGGGACGGGTCACGGGGGCCTTGATTCTGGCCCAGGACTCTTCCAGAACGAAAGCGCCCTTCGGTGAGACCAGACGGCCGGCAAAGTGACCGCCCTCTGGAGGACAGCCGGGTCCGGCCGCACCCCGCCTTGAAGCATAGCCCCTGGTCTTCATGACGCGTGGCCCAATTGGAAAAGACAACCGACCGGGACAGCTGATTAATTCCCTGCGACTCTGGGAATGGGGCGCCGAGCCAGTTTCCGAAGAAGAGGAGTCAGGAGAAACGCACTGTATTTGGAGAGGGGCTGGGAATCCATCCGCAAGCCCCGAGCTCTGCCCGACCAGGAGGAAACCAGCCAAGCCTGCGCCGAGGGGCGCCCAGCCCACGGGAGCACCTCCCTCCTCCCCCTGCTGCCTGGACTTCAGGGACCCTATCCCAGCGCCATCTGCACCCAAGCTGACTCGAGGGCGTTTCTGCCCCTCTTTGCACGGGACGCCTTCTGGCGGTGAACCCCGGGGGCAGGGAGGCGGCCACGACCCGCTGCCGTGCTTCTTCTCCCTCCCGTGTCAGACGTAGTCACGGGAACCAGAAAACCATCTTCCCTACCTCCACGCGACCAGGAAGCCGACCCTGCTGAATCGACAAAGGAAGGGGATTTCTTTGGCTCAAAAGCCGGTATTTATTTCCCATAAATATTAGACGCAGAACTGCTGAACTTGAAAAGGCTCATTTCTACTGAACGAGCAGTTCCTAATAAAGGGTCCCCAGAGGAACGGGGGACACGGGCTACACAGGCAGGGTGCCGGGCGGGAAACCTCTGGGCCCGGGCGAAGGAACCAGTGGGAAGCACCAGGCCCAGAGTCGGCCCTGAGGAGCTCCAGGCGTCTTACGGCAGAATCGTAATTAAATCCTGTCCAAAGAGCACCTGAAAGAGGACTCGCTGTTACCATTTTAAACGGAAAAGATACACAAAAGCAGACCCAGCGAACTGACCGAAGGAAAAGGCAGAGAGCAGCAGAAAGCGGCGTGGGGGAGGGGAAGCCGAGCTTACTCTTCTGACGGCGCTTCGGGTGGCCCGGAACAGGTAGGGGCCCAGCGCCCGCGAGTTCACCTCCGCCACCGAGGCACCCAGGGCGGCCCGCAGCGAGGACAGGTCGTAGTCATACACCGGGAAACCTGGACACGCAAGCACACGGGACCCTGTGAGTCCAGGGGCACCGGCCAGGACCCCGCGGAGGAAGCGGAGCTGAGTCTTTACCTGCACAGGGCCAGCGGCTCGTTCCAACGACAAACATGACCAGTATCTTGAGCATCATCTCCTTGCTGGGAAGAGTCATTTTCGTTCAGAGCCAGGGACCGCGTCCCTGTGCGTCAGGAGGTGACTGTCCCCCCGAGAGCAGCTCTCTTCAGCAGGTGGGACCTGGCTTGGGGCAGCCTGGAGCGTAAGCAGGGACGATCGATCCAGGGTGAATATTTACCACTGCGTTTTTCTATGGAATGGGGCCAGGTGGAGGCCACTTTTGAAGTTGCGACCTCAACATGGGACTTTAGCCCGCGGCAAAGACACCAAGAGGTTGGGGACTCGTGTGCGCTATTTGTGTGCTATTTGCTTTTCTTTTTTTTTTTTTTTTGGTTAACCCTCACCGGAGGATATTTTTTGATTGATTTTTTTAAATAGAGTGGAAGAGAGGGAGGAAGGGGGAGAGAGAGAAAAAAACATCGATGTGAGAGAGACACATCAATTGGTTGACTCCCGCACGACCCTGACCGGGGCTGGGGATCGAACCTGCAACCCAGGCACATGCCCTTGACCTGGAATCGAACCCTGGATCCTTCAGTCCACAGGTGATGCTCTAACTACTAAGCCAAACTGGTCAGGGTTGTTTTTCTCTATTTTAATTCCATCCACATGCACAGCTTATTTCTCTTTGTTTTAATTCCATTTTTGGAGGGAAGGGGTGGTGTATCTTAGTTTCAACAAAACATTATTTTAGATTGTTGTCAGTTTAGTCCTCTTATGTCCCTAACAATCTTGCAGTTGATTATTTATGAAAAGTGTATGTTTATTTCAAGGTCTTTCTGCAAATTATAACTGCAAAGAAGATTATTTAATCTATAGGACTTCCTGGACAGGAAGATGTTTGCATATTGATGGCTCACACGCACTATAAAATCCCAAGGTAGTTTGTGAACCATTAACGAGAAGAGACACTTCACAGTCAATGCAGTCCACGTGACATGCAGGTCCTCGTTTTTAGAATCCACGCATAAGGAGCTGCATTGTGCCGGGGCTCCACACTTGTCAGGAGCGGACCCCTGGTCATGGTACACAACCACTCTGAGCCTCAACGTCCTTATCTTTAAAATGGGCAGAAATGTTTATGATGTATGACTAGTAGGGTTTACCAAAGAAACGGAACCAACAGGATGTTTATATATATAATGTTTATATAGTTATAATATGTATTACATAACATATATTATGTCTATATACATTTATGTTTATAGATGTTATGTTATAGGTATTTATGTATGTGAATGTGTGTGTATGTGTGTGTGTGTGTATATATATATATAGATAGATAGATATAGAGAGAAGGGGGGAGGGCAAGGGAGTGGGCCTTTAAGGAATTGGCTTACACAGTGGCAGAGGCCAGCAAGTCCTAAGTCTGCAGGCAGGCCATCAGGCTGGAGTTCCGGGAAGAGTTGCAGTTCTGGTCCAAAGGCTACCTGTTGGGAGAATTCCTTCCTGCTCAGGAGGTCAGCCTTTGTATATTAAAGCCTTCAACTGATTGGGTGAGGCCCACCCACATTATAGAGAGTAATCTGCTTACTCAAAGTCTATCAATGTAAATGTTAATCTCATCTAAAAAATATATATATATATCTTCAAAGAAACATCTGGACGATCTGACCAAATATCTGGGCAGCATGGCCAAGCTGACACATATAATTAACCATCACCTAATGATTAAATCTCAAACCCTTGAAAGAGTGCTTGGCAGATTAGTTGCCCAGTAAGGGTAGCTGCTGGCAGGAATTCAGTTCCGCACGCATTCCCAGCAGCTGCTAGCCTTAAGGCCGCGGGCAAGGAGGGCGGCTCAGTGAACGTGTCCTCTCGCTCACCCTGCTTCCGCCAGGCAGACTCGCGCCAGCGCAGGAGGCGTCCACTGCTGTGAGGACCGTGGAAATGGTGGGCACGTGGGCAGTCCGCTCGCTCCTGACCTCAGCCCCCAGGTGGTCACGTGACTCTTGAACTAGCCCTGGAAGGATGCAGAGGCATCTAACAGGAGAGGTGGAGACTCGGGCCAGGGACAGAGCACAGAAGGGAGGCCACTGGGGAGGGGACGTGGTGTATGGCGGTGACCTTCGCGAGAGGCCGGCCACGCATTGCGGCCAACAAGAAAGAGAGTAGAGTGAACATGACAGGTGAGTCTTAGAGAAAGTGCCACGATGCAATTTTTAAATTATTGCTACTACGTAAGGCAACTTGGTTGATTAATTAAAATATCGCCTCTGTTTTGCCTGCCCTCTGCACAAAGGTTTCCAGTCATGCTTCTGACGTCACATACGCTCTGGATCACACATATTTACTCCCCTGACCCGAGAAGGTGTTCTTTCTACAAGTCTCACTCATCAGCACATTGGTGCATGAAATCTCACCTGGACAATCTCAGCGTCTGGGTGCCCATTTGCCCCATGCTGCGCTCTGGGTCCAGCAGTCTCTGGCTTCTCCTCAGACCTCCCTCGTTCCCAACTACGTTCCAGCCATGTGTGCTTGGAAGTTCTCTGGGGACACCAAACGAATTCCATGCCACAGCCGTTGTGCCCATTATTCCTTCCAACAAATAATCGTGACATTTTTCTTGATTTCCCCAAGTCCGTTCCATCCCAGCCTTTGGGTCTCTGCTTCCATAGCGCCTCCTCAGAGATCCTCCATGACCACCCACCTGAACGTCACCCCCCTCCACCCTGCCGCGTCAGCTCCTGCTTCTTCCTCCCGAGCACTCTCTCTGTTGTGCTCTTGATGTCTTTCTCTTCCAGTAGACATCACCTCTAGGGGGCAGAGACCATGCCTGTCCCCTGTACACAGTACTGCAACACCCAGATAGGAACAGAATTACACATTTGTGGAAGGAAGGAAGGAAGGAAGGGAGGAAGGGAGGGAGGGAGGGGGGGAGGGAGGGAGGGAGGGAGGGAGGGAGGAAGGAAGGAAGGAAGGAAGGAAGGAAGGAAGGAAGGAAGGAAGGAAGGATGGATCACACTTGGTCTCTCTGAACCTTAATCCAAGGTCTTCTGTTGGGAGCTGGCAGTGATCCCTGGTGTATAAAAGGTGCACAAAGGCTGAGCTATGAGATATGTCCACCAAGATTTGTAATTCTATTACTCTTAACCTGGTTTGAACTTAATTCCATTAGAGTCTTTCAGATTTAACTATCAACAGCATCTGGCTCCAAACTCCAGGGTCTCATTAAAGGAGCGGTAATGATCAAAGTAATTGCAAAGGAGATGAGGAGATGGAGACAACAATACAGCAATGCAGCCAGCACAGGGCTGTTGGTTTTGCTTGCAGCTCGCTGGTGCGTCCCTAGGTCATTGCAGTTCTCAGATGTCCTTGCTCCAATAAGCATGGGCACCGGGCGTGCCGAGCAGGCCCTGGTCAGGGCTAAACAGTGATGCTCTGGAAATGCCTCCGCAGAGCTCCGCCACGTCCACTAGCCCAGGAAGACTGCGTGTAAGCCGTCCACTGAAATTCAGGCCACAGGGCCCTCTCTCATGATTCTGTTTCCTATCTGCAGAAAGTGTACGCATTCATTCCAGTGGAGTTCTGCTGTTCCAACAAACGTTATTTAGTTAAGGTAGTAAAAATGATGTAGCACTAAGTGAAGAGGTTTTATACAGTCCCTGGAAATGTATATGAAATTGACCATAGGAAGCTTAACAAGCAATGAGGAAAATGTTGAGTAAGAACAGGTGGACATCCCTGTCATAGACTCATAAGATTCTTTGCTGTCATCTTTATCTCTTCTCTTGAGATTGTTTCTTTTCATTTTGCTCATCTCTATAGTTATATTAGTTAGGAAAAGTCACTAAGTTTGGAGCAAATGTAAACCACATCTTTATCTGATCATAAACCACACGTCGGCAGCTGTCTTCCAGCTTTTTGTAAGAACGTGGTTTCTGAACTCCTGAATTCCTGTCTCCAGATGCACCTTGACTGCCTATAATCCTAACCCTTCCAAGCTCTGGAAAGTCAGCAGTATTGGTACTTTTAATTTTTAGGGGATGATACGTTTGCAAGCAAAGTAGCCTCAGAGGTTCTCCAGCTGCAGCACTACCTGAAAGTCTCACACCCAGACCCGGGTTTGACTGGCCCTCCACATGGTTCTGATGCAGACTCAAGTGTGAGAACCACTGGTGTGGAGCAGTGATTCTCAACCAGGGCGAGCGTGCCCTCAAGGACATGTGTCAACCAGTGGAGACCATGTGGGTCACCAACAACTAGAAGAGAGAGCGCTACGGAGCATCTCGTAGGTGGAAGCCAGAGATGCTACTGAACATCCTATGAAGCACAGGACAAAACCCATCACCAAGAATGATCATGTCCAAAATTCAGGAGTGCCAAGGTTGAGAAACCCTGGTGAAAGGCAAGAACTTTTGATCAACGGCCCAAGTTTTAACTATGGCATCCTACTCATTTTAACTTACTTTTTAATTTTTTTTTTTTTTGGTGTTGTATGTCCTATAAAAATTGTTATTTTTGTTTTAAATCCACTGAACTTGTTTATGGTTTCTTCTACTGTCATCTCTAGAAGAACTTCCTCCAGTTTAAAATCCTATAAATATTTACCTTTATGTATGATTCCCCTTTTTACATTTTAACTATGCAATGCATTTGGAATTAATTTTGATAAGTTGTAAAGTAATGATTTAATAATGTCTTTATTGTAGAAAACTTGTTATGTCTGGAACATATAGAGTGACTTCTGTTTCCTGACCAAGTCATGACTGATAAAAGGATGTTCTCCACCAAAACAAGAGAATTATTAAAGCAAAAGGAAGGATCAGTTTGAATCAGCTTCATTTTCATGTGGCCAAAAATTCAATACCAGGTTAAATAAGATAGAAGTTTATTTCTTGCATTTGAAAAAAGAAAAGTGTGACCATAAGCAGCCCAGTGCTATTTGGTGGCCCTCCAACTATCAGGAACCCAGATTCCTCCAAGATATTCTTGTCATTATGGCCCCAAATGGCTGCTAGGTCTCCAGCCATCACAATCTATTCCATGCAGCTCATTGAGGAAAGAACAAAGAAGGAGGGGCCTCTTCTCTTT